CCCCCCCTCTCGTCTCTGGCTCCTTACCCCCCCCGCATATTTCTCTCCGATCTCTGGGTCTCTCTTTCTCCCGCTTCGTTTGCCTCGTGTGCTGCTTCCAGGCGGAACGGGCGTGGCAGGGACACCGCCGGGAGGAGCGGAGGTCGGAGCAGCGCCAACGATGTAGCGAGCAGGTACCGTTGTGTGGTGCCTCGCCCCTGTCATCGTATGGGGTATGGCGTTCGTGGTCGTTTTTGACCCTGTCTTGCCCTCGCCCTTGGGTCGCGAATAGCCTAAAGTACGGCGACTATGCCGAGCCGAAGAACGCACGAGCACCCCGACGCAGCTTTATTTCCAGTTGTTCGCTCAACGCACGGAACCAAAGGTCGAATCGAATTTATTCGCACACCCGAATGGTTCCGGGAAAGTCTCTCTTGTCCATCTAGCTCTGTCTTTCTCTCTCGCGCGCTCCCTGTATCGCTCTCTCTCTGTCTGTCTGTCTGTCTGTCTGTCTATGGGTATGCCGATGCCGATCTCTCCTTTCTGCCTAAATGGTCCAACCTCGTCGTTTTGGCATCGGTGCGCTCACCCGGGGGGAACAGGCCAAAGCTCACAATCTACCCGTTGTGCGTCCTTTTTACAGCACGCTGTTTTTCATTCAAGTGACCCTTGTCCAAATAAGACACAATCCCCGTATCGTCCATCCCGCCATTTTCCGGCCATCATTGGCCTGACACGCTTCTGGGATACTGCGGGACCCCCGCTCCTGCACCGTGTTCAGGCCCACCGGCATCACAGCTCCTCTTTCTCACTCCCGCGCTTGTTTGCCTGTCTTGGGCCAACCGGCCGCCTCTCAGGGCGGTGCAGCAAGCCTTCGCGGGTGGCGGCGGCGGCGGCGGTAATGTCCCGCCGGCGGGGCGGGGACGGGGGCGCGGATCAACCATTCCGGCTTGGATGACGCACCCGGGCGGGCCGGGGGGTTTGCAGGAGAGCAGCAGGGGGGACCGCGGAGATGGCAGGTGTGATACGAACGTGCCAGGGGAGGGGGTGGCGTAGTACCACTCGGTTGATGCTTCTACTAGTTGGCTTGACAAATAGCGGAGGCGGAGGGGGGAGGATACTGTTGCTGCGCTGGAAACAACTTGTGCATGTCGATGCGCTCAAATTATCACCACCGAGCAACGGCGATTACCTCCGCGGTACGGCGTAGCTATGCAAGTACGGCTTGCTGGGATTTCCAGTATGCCTCTCTTTTTTGTCGCCCCGTTCCAAGCAAATCGATCACGCACTTTCCCACCTTTCCCCCCGAACACGCCAGCAGGCCTTCGAAGGACAAGAGCCCCCCAAGGTTTGCACGAAGCGCAGGCCCGTTGCCTCCGGAGCCAACCATGGCCAACGGGGGGATCACGGAGGGGCGGGGCGGAGGCGGTAGGGGCTGGAACAGGAGCGGCGGGGGGCACTACGGCAGCGGGCGCGAAGGGGGCGGCAGAGGGCCGGAGAAGCTACCCGAAGTTTTCTCGGTACACAAGGGGGAGGTCGTCAAGGTGCGAAGACGGGGGTTTTCGGAGTTTGGGGGGGGGCTCATTTGCACGCGGTAGCGGTAGCGATAGCTTGCAGATTGGACCATGGCAGAAATTCTACTGCTGTGTTTTTCGCTCCTGTGAAAGTGCGGGATGAAATCACTTTGTTATGTGGGGTGTGTTCCTGCGTGCGAGAATGATATTTGACTGCGCTTGGTGCACACATACACACACGTTCGGTTTATTCGCATGGACCTTGATGTGCGTATCGGTCCGTAGACTATCCGCATGTGGCGCCAGTACACAAGCGTAGCAGCTGACCAAGGCATACGGCGCGATGATAGATAGGTGTGTAGCACGACGACATGAGTGGATTATCCGCCAACACTTCCGCCGCTTGTTTCCTCCGATGGCTCACCCCGGCCCCCTTCGCTCGTCACTGCACCCCGCGCTTTTTTGGGCACACTGCTTCTGTTCATTTCGGTTGTTTTTGCCCCCCATGGCGATACAGACGGAGACATTCGGAGCGTTCGTCAAACTCGACGGCTACCGCAAGCATGGGCTGGTGCACTGCAGCCAGATGGTATGCCTGTGTTATTGAATCTACAGGCAGATGAGCCTCATGTTCGTGCGGTAGCATCCTTGAAAGTGCGCAGGGTAGATGATGATTTTTTTCGAGTGGGAACGACACCGAACATGCTGTGGAACGCCCTTCGTTTTTGGTGATGACACCATCTGCAGATCGTTCTTGGTTGTGGCCGACGAGAGATTAAAGTGGTACCTCATCCCTCCAAAGTTGCCGGCAGCAGCAAGGTATTCTACTGATCACACACCCTCCCTGCCTTTTCGGCGTTCCTTTTCCATATACTGTGACTACAGGCTTCGTACAGAGTGGAAGATGTCACGGACGTCTGCAAAGTGGGCGACACTGTGTACGCGAAGGTGCGATTGCTTCCTCCCAAAGGGCGTTCTCCAAGCTTTTCCCGGCTGTTTCGCTTCTCTCTCCGTTTGATTGGATCGGTTGCCTGATACGTATTTTCCAGTGCTGGGGCAAGTAACGGCCGATTGTTGGCTTGTGTGAGGTTCGGCTGTGATATCGGAACGGCACGTGTTCACCCGATTCAGAGGGATAGGATTAACTCGTGATGCTTGGGGCTGTTGGCAACACACCGATAAATAGCAGCAGGAATGGACCAACACCTCTCGACCACACTTTGTACTTGTGCAAGTGTTCCCGAGGGATCCTTCCTGCCTTGTATGTTGTTGCGGCAACGCCAGTCGCGGTGACCTCTAAGAAACTGTCACGAAGGCTTCCTTTTGCGGTGGCCAACCAATCACGCTATTGCACCGCACATGAGTGCATTGCCTTCGCGAAGGACGAGGCTTCTGCCAACCCAATCTTCCACGCAGGATGGACGGCAGCGTTTGCTATTGCCTCATCGGGGTGGTACAGCAGTATGATGCCACATCTGTTAGGAAAACCCAACCTTGCCAAGGGTATCACTGCTTCGTGTAACGTCATACGGCCAAAACCAAACGACAGGTGATCGAGGTGACGGACGGGCCCGACCCCCGAGAACAGCGCATCGCGCTCTCCATGAAGCTGGTCAACCAGGCCGACGGCAAGGATCTCGACCCTTCCAACGCCGAGGCTGAGACGGACGTGAGAACTTCGTTCGCACTGACTGCTGATGTAGAGCAGCCCCATGTCTCGTCACGGCCGTTGTGTTTTTTGCCGACGGGTGCGCGTAGATGGTATCATCGACCTTCCGAGCAATGAGCCGCCGTCTGTAGTTGTAGGCCGGCCCCCCGGATGGGCTCAGCAGGAGTGTACACGTGCGCCAGGCCCCACTGTTACTGTGGGAGTGCGTTCATGTCTTTGTTGGAATTGCCCCAGCAGGTAGTCTCAACCTCGACCATGCTGCCCTATTCAGACTGCTGTCACGATTTTCGGGTTAGGTTCTGGGTCGTTTCTGCTGCTCACGTCTGCAGTACACGCGCTGGAGCAAAAAATTAGCAATTTGGGTGGCCGCCCGCACTACTGCCGCTCCTGCTGGAAAATTTCACATGCTTTTATTAAAGTCACCGCCTCCGCTGCTGCTGCTGCTTTATCTTTCAGGCGCAGCGCAGAAGACCCGCGGGTGGGGGCGATCGGGCCCCGGTGCAGCTGGACGCGGTCTTCAACACCACGTGCACAAAGGTGGGTTCGCTTGCATTATGAACGCACACGCGCTGAACGCGGGCGCGTTGATACCGCAGATATGTGCTTCGGAAAACGGAGTTGTTTGGATCCGCTCGAAGACCCTGCATGCGCCTCCGCTACCCAAAATACGTGTCCAACAAATTTCCTTTGAACGGGTGACGCGCTCTCTACCTGTCCAACCATCTTGCCCGTTTAACTTGTGCCGCCTGTTCTCCATTTTTTCTTCTCGATCGCTATCTAATCACCTGTGTGTGTGGGAAATCCGGCGGCGTTTTTGTAGGCCGGTCGGTCGGTCTCGTTTTTTTGTAACGCCGATTGTCTCATTTTTCTTTTCCTCTGTTGTTCTGCTGTTCGATTGGTGGCAGTGCGGAGTCCACGGGCACTTATCGATCGATTGCTTCTCCAGGGGGGGCAAGAAGTACGAGCTTGTGGATGAAGAAGACCCCAGAGACAACGGTCGAGCAGGAGGTGGAGGAGGAACTGGCAATGACATGCGGGGGGTACACCGTGAGGCGAGTGTGGGGCGTTTTGATGCTGTTCGGGTGCTGCATCTCTCGAACGGGCGACTAACAACGCGGGGGCTCGAGATCATCGGAACATAACCTCCCCCACGCACGCAAGCAACCTGAGTTTGGATGATGAGACGGGGCTGTTAGCCCACGATAGTCATGGACGAAAAGTGTTGGTTCCCCCCCCGAAACACACCATGATTATGTCTTCCTTCATTGGTCGTTACCCCCTCCCCTCCCCCTAGGCTGCAGGGATCCCACCAACCTTCACCCACCTCGCCCTCTACTATACACACACGTTGTACCTCCCGTGTTTGCACTAAATTGGTTCTTCGCGTGCCACGCAAACGTGTATATTTGTCTCAACAGCCCCCCCATGAAGGCGGTAGGCTGGCAGGTGGGAGGGGACGCGGGGCTACCATGCCCGCGTGGATGAACGACCTCGGTCTGGTGGACAAGCTCAACAAGAAGAGCAATCGCAAGGTATGCCTTTCCTTTCTTTTCTTTGCCCTACATAAAGGTTGTGGTTTGATTTCCCGCTGTCTTTGTTCTTGCTGTGGGTCGGTACAGAACGCCAGCCGTCTGACCAGAGCACCTGTCACCAGACTTGAGACAAGCCTAGAACGAATAACCTTGGTAGCCTCCAGCTGCTGACTCATGCGCGGCCCTCTCTCTCCTCCACGAACCTGCGTGCGCGCGGGCGCACAGGAAAAGAAGTCGAAGAAGAAGAGCGACCACCGCCGTGGCGACGGCGATTCCGACAGCAGCGACGACGACGACGACGACCACAGGAAGAAGCACAAGAAGCACCATCGACACAAGAAGTCCAGCCACAAGCACAAGAAGAGCGGCCACAAGCACAAGAAGTCCAAGCACTCGAGCAGCAACAGGGACGGTCGCCGCGGCTACTCGGACAGCGGCAGCGATGATAGCGGCGGCGGCGGCGGTGGAAGTGATCGGGCTCGGGTTTCCATGAATGGAATAGGCGAGGGGACGCGCGGGAGCTGGCGCGACGAAAACGGAAGCATGCGAAGGCGAAGCAGGAGCAGCGACAACAACGGTCGCGGTGGCGGGGGCAGGAGAGGGCGGAGCCGCAGCAGCCAGAGAGGGAAAGGCGGCGAGTGGGGTGGAAGGAGAGGACGTAGCGACAGCAGACGCGGAGGAGGCGGGCGTTACAGGGCGGACGATCGGGGACGTTTCGAAGATGCCCCTGTCAGGGAGGCGGCGGGGGTAGGAGATGGGGGCCGCTGGAAACCGCGAGGGGATTCTGACCGTAGCCACTCGCGTTGAAGTAAAGGAGGAGAACAACCGACACCTGTGTTTCTTTAATTTTCACCGGCGGAGAGGCTTGAAGGGAGGGGAGGAGAGGACAACGCCGTCGGGGTCGGGACGCAATGGCGACGATTCGACCAATCGGCGCGCCGTCGAAAGATTCTTGAGCCGTCGAGCGTGTGGTGCTGCTGTACGCACAACGCGAACGTCGGCGACTTTAGGCTCGCATCCGCATGTTGTTTGCTGTCCACGTGGGGCACGGCGTGATTAGTTTTATTGACACCGTACTACACATCCCGGTTGACATGGGCGGCGCCACATGGGGGGCTTTAGCTGAACAATATAGTGCGTGGTTATGTGGTTGGGTGTGTTGCAGGTGCATAAATTGATCGATGAGCTAACGCTCGTATTCTACGAGGACCATCGAAAATATTGCGGGTGTTGAAATGCCGCCCCCCTCACGAGTATGGTGGGCTTTGCCGTCGGACCCAAGTTGTACGCTGCATGTATGCAACACCCGAAGTGCAAACATGCGTATGCACGGCAGAATCTTGTCTTGGGTATATCCGGTCGTAAAATAGCACCGCACCCTACCACGTGCTCAGTATACTTCAATGATTTTATCAGCTTGTGATTATTGTTTTTATCAGCTGATCTGACAAGTGGAATCGGCGACGGTGGTCTACACGGGCGCTAGCCACGGTGTACCGCACGCCCTCAAGACTTTCGCAATTGCGTAGAGTGCGCGTAACCCTGCAGATTGGTCTTTGGAAACGATCCTGTCGCACCATCGTCTACCCTCCGACACACCTGCTGGCGGTGCCGCAGAACCCACAGACAGCAGTTGGCCCTCAGCGTCCCCCACTACTAGCAACACGCGTGATCCTTTTCGTTGCTGAAACGAGGCTGGGCCAAGCCATCGTTCTATTTGGCAAATCACGCGAAGGGGAGGGAACGCGAAGAGTAGTGACAAGGCTTCACTTCAGGTAGACGAATCGGTGACGTCCTTCGAGACAACGCTCAACCAACAAGGGCCAAGGACCAAAGATTCACAGCAATGTAAGGACCCCCGCTATCCACGCGGAACACACGAGCTTCCACCTCCTATCGACACACACAGCACACGAGCCTTGTAATGCTGTCGTTGCCGTTGGTCAGTGAAAACTGTAACGCTTACCAAAACATTCGCCAGGATGCTTTGCTCGTGTCCCCCCTACGGCGCAACGTTGGTTTCCTCCACCCTCGCGGCCAAACGAGGGTATGCCTTCAACCCGCCGTGGCCCTCTATCCCTAGCTATTTTCCGCTGCGCTCCATCTGTCTTCGACGTTCGTAACGTCAAGCTGTAGGATGTCCGCCCGGCAGTCGAGGAGACTTCCGATTGAGGGCACGGTTCGCCCGAGATCCCCGTGCACGAACTCCTTGATGTAGGTGCCTTTTGGGAGAAGACATAATAAGGTACGGGGGGNGGGGGGGGGGGGGGGGGGGGGGGGGGGGGGGGGGGGGGGGGGGGGGGGGGTGAGAAAGAAGGGAAGTTGCAGGATGTGCCACCACTCGAGAGCTAGGCAGTGAACAAAATGGGGCTCGACGTCTCTTTCGGGTTCAATTGTACGAACTGTCCCGTCCGACAAACAATCCTGTCGCGAAGACCAAAAAATACCGGCTGATGGTTACTTGCCCCAAAAGGAGGAAGTACGTCGCAGTAGGAGGTTGTGATGTCGTGGACCGTTGTCATTCTGTGTTCAAGGACAAGAACGCGGGCTGTGTTTGTTAAACAGTCCGGGTGCTGTTTATAGACCGTTTTGATCAAGGGTACCACGTGGTGTCTCGAGCTCTTGTAGACCTATCTACTGCAAGAAGGGTGTACAAAATTAGCTTGTTCTCGCCCAGAAGACAGCACATGAAAATCCCAACTTCGACAAACATCGAAAAATGATCTTAACAAGGTACAAGTAGCAATTAACAACAGCAATGAGAGTGATAACCCGCAAAGGGAAAGAGAAAATGAACAACAGACAAGCGAAGCAAACATCAGGGACCCTCAGAAAAAAAGAAAAAACGCGCCAACTGTCCTCTATAAAACCCTCCTCTGACTCTTCTCACCGGCGGACGTGGCGAGCTCCAGCTGAAAAAAGTGCTCGTTGATCCACTCCGCGCGCATGCCGAAGATCGATCTAGGCCTGTCGAGCAGCGTCCTGCGGTGCAGCACGCGGATGGGCGTGGCCTGCTGCACCACCAGCTCCTCCGGCGCATCCTCGCACAGCGCCTTCACTAGCTCCTCCTTTCCCACCGGCCTCGATACCCACACCACGCACCGGTAGTGCTTCCGCTTGCCCTCGCCGACGGCCTGGACGTCGCTCGGGAGCTCCCCGGGCCCGGCTACCCGGAGCCTGGACACCGCGACGCCGCCGCCGACGTTCTTGACGCCCCCCGCGGTGTTAACCGCGTCGGCAAGGGACGGCAAGCGCGCCGCGATCTCGTCGACGGACCGAAGGGAGTCCACCAGCTCTAGGCAGAACGGGCGGCCCTTCCCGAGCATCCGGACGTCGACGTCCTCCCGGCCGGCCCCGTGCAGGAGCCCTTCCACGCAGCCGGAGAACGCCTGGAACGGTTCGGAGACCGCCTCCTGCACGGAGTAGAAACCTTTGAACCACGGCGTCTGCGGGACACTCCGGGAGAGCTTTGTGTACCGGCCCCAGAAGTGGATCGACTTTCGCCGGATGGCGACCTCGCAGAGCGCCTCCGCGCCGCCGCTGGTCGGGTGGATGCTGGCGTCGCTTGGTGTGGCAGAGGGTGGTGGGACTCCTGCAGCTCGAACCACCGGCGCCTCCGCAGGTGCCGCAGCGGGTGATCCCTCCCTCGCATCACCACCCACAACAGTCCCGCTCACGGGGGTCACACCGTCTACCGCCTGGCCTGTAGAGTCTTTCGGCTCGGCGTCGACGACACCATCTCCACCACGGACTACTTCAGCCGCGCGCCCCCCGCTACTGCTGTCTGCTGCTCCGGTAATTCCGCCAAGACTGGCCACCGGTACTTCCTCTATCTCCCCGCCCGTCCTCCTCTCTTGTATTAGCCCCTGTACCCAGCGCCTCATGCGCTCCCTGCCCGCGTCGTCCATCTCGTTGAGGCCCTTCTTAACCGCGCCGACGGTCAGCCCCGGGTTACGCTGCTCCTCCCGCCGCTGGCGCTTCTTCGCCCACCTCCCTCCCCCCGCGGGCCAGCCGCGCGGCGGCTTGCCGGCGCCCGAGTGGGACGGAGCCGGGCCTCCCAAGAGGGCGGTCGCCGCGTGCGCGTCGGCTTCGGGCGCCCTCGCGGTAACCTCCACCATGAAGTCAGAGTCCTGGTGGTCTACCGTCACTACTGCCGCCGCCACTGCCGCCACTGCCGCCGCCGCCTCCTGTCTGGTTTGGAGGTGGGCCCTCAGCGTGCGAGCCAGCCCGATCTTGAGCGCCTCCTTGACGGGCACGACGGCCTGTCTGGAGATTTGACCCGCCCTCGTCGGCGCTGCCGGCGGCGTGGTGGCGGCGGGCGGCTCTGGTTCATCCGGAGAGGACTGCTGCTGCTGGTGCGAAGGCTCGGGTGAGAGGTCGCAGCCGCCCAAGCCCGCCTCCAGAAACGCCGCGTTCCGCACCGCCAGGCACGCTGGCACCGCCGCCGTCACCCCGAAGCTTGTTACGGTGTACCCTCGGGCGGTGATGCATTCCACGATCGCCTCCGCCATTCGCGAACGACAGTAGCCCGTGTTTCTGCAGGTATCGCTAGTACTGCTGCCGTTGCTGTTGCCTGGGGCGGCCACCGCGGTGGCCGTTTCATCGAGCGCCTGGCGCTCGCAACGGTCAATCGCCATAGCCGTGGTTGATCCCGGCGCCTCTGTTTTCTCGGCAAAGACGGGCGGCGGCGCGATTTCCTGAGACTGTGTGTCAGAAGCACCGGCGGCAGGAGGCATCGGTAGCGATGCCTGTTCGCAGGAGCGGTTGTGGTCCCCGTGAACCTCGGAGGAAGGCCTAGGGCGGGCAGCTATGCGGATAGGTACCTCGTGCTGCAGTAAGCCCAGGCAGAGAGGGCAGCACCTCTCTCTCGCCGTGCTGGTGACAGCAGCGCTGCCTTCGTTGGCGGCGTTTGTTGAGCGAAAACGAGCGTCAAGCTGCGCTCTCAAGGCCCGCTCGTCGCACGCGTACACAGCAGGGTCTCGGCATGCGACCAGGCGAGCGGCGCAGCAGGCACAAGCTCCGGTTCGTTTGATCGCCGACCATGCCCCTGAGGTCAGGGAGAGAGAGCCGGCCAGGAGGGAGGGGTCTGTTGGTGGTGGAGAGGAAGTTGCAGTAGCCGCCTGCTGTTGTTTTGCGGCCATGATTCTTGTAAGGACTGCTGTGCTGTTGCTGTTGCCTTGTTCTCCCGCCGTGCCACCTCTTTCTTGTTACGATGCAAATAGCTCGTAGAAAAGTGTATTGCTTGAGCTAGCCCAGAGCGATCATCATATCACACACTGCATTCGTAGAAGAGCGCCACTGACCGGCGTTGTGCTCAAGATATGCAGTAATTCTGGACTGGGTGGATGCGGAGCAATTGTCATCACATGACCAACCCACCCCCGGGACGAACCCCCATATCCGCGATGCCCCCTTATTGCCGACCTCTCTCCACACGCGCACACGCCATACCGCTCGCAGCACCTGCATTTTTCGTCTCCTGTTACACACTGTTCAAGCACCCCTGTGCTGAAACGTGGTCGGATATCAGCTGGGCGACCCAGGTCAGTCTCTCCGGTGCCGCTTCTCCCGATATGAGGTCAGGATCTGATCATTGCACTCGCAAGATTGCACCTCTCAAGGGCGGGTGTACGTACTCGGCCCCAGAGCATGAGAGGAGTTGGACCAGCCAGCCATGTAGCGTTCGTTGCCTGTTGAGCCTCGATTACAGCTGTTGCTTTGTTAATCGACGATATGGCTTGGATGTCTGGTTGCTGCCGTACTCGTATTTGCATGCTCTGCAATGTAGTGCATCGGCGAGCATGATCACAAGTGACATGATCCCTGTTCGTTACCAGAAAAACCTAAGTTGAACGTCTGTGGCTGAAGAGTTTGCTCAGCGGCAAACTTGGGAGAGTGCGGACGTTGGTTGTGTGTCTACCGTGCGCGCCGTGTGTGCCCAGCAACGCACCGACCACAACCGTTACCCCGCCGTTGTGGCCCACCATTGCTTGCACAGATAAGCTGCTTTCCCTGTCAAAGCAACAGCTTCACCAACCCTTTCTCGCCGGGAGGGAAAAGAAGGTCGCGCCACACACACCAAGGCTTTCTTCTCTTTCGTCGTCGTTCCGGCGGACAAAAGGCCCGCAGCAACAACCCGCAGCATGTTGCTCCTCCTGCTGCTGGCGGCGGCGGCGGTAATAACTCCATCCCTAGGCTTCGTAGTGCCGCCAGCGGCGGCGCCCGCCTCCGCGGCTCGATGGCAGCCCGTCTGCCGCGGTAGCAGCACGGCAGCAGCCGGCCAGCCTCGCGCTCAGGGGACGAAGGCGTACGCCATCGGAGCAAAGGGGTTGCATGTGAGAAAATTGTTGGTACCTTCCGCAGCATTGGTTGGTGTATCCAGAGGGAGACCGGGAATTTTGATTCTGCTGTTTCTCCGAAGGACGCTCCGTGTTTTGATGCGTGCTATGCATACGACTGCTGTACTGGTACACGATGCGCGCAGGGATGTCTCACCTGTCAGGCACCCGCGGGCGGTTTTGGTTAGGTGTAGATGAGAAACCGGCGCTCATCAGGTACACATGTACCAGCGGGAGGATGGATTGCAAACATTCATCACAATATCTGTCCCCTGTTCTTTCCACGCGTTTTTCCTTGTTCTCGAGATGTCTTCGAATATTTCGCCGCACTTTCTGAACGTTGCCATTCTGAACGCCGAGGTTTTCGCCCTCGGATACCTATCCATACGCGTTTCCTTCGTCTCTCGGCGGGGCAACCCTGCGATGACTTTGTCATATCGCAGATGGTTTCCGTGGCTCGTGGATTCGGAAGACACCGATGGCATCTCACTGCATGCCCATCTCCACCCGCCGCCACCTCCCGCGGCCTTGCTTGTAAGAACTACTGTAGACGGGTCGATGGCCCAACTATCTACCTCTGTCCTTGCAGGAACAAAGATGTTGAGTGTGCGCAAGATCCACTCCGTTCTTGTTCGTTTGTTTTTCTCCGCAGGGCGGCGCCGGTGGTAGCCGCAGCCGGACCGTGGCGCCGCCGACGATGATGGCGACGCCTCTTCCGGAAACGCCCGACGCCCCGCCCACGACAGAGGAGCTGCGACCGGCGCTGGTGTACGGGGAGTCGGCGGCGCGATCCTTCGTCAAGGCGCTCGTCTGGCGGCTCACCGCGGGGGTAGTCACGTTGGTGAGACGGCGGAAGGGGTTGGTTTTGCAAAGTATTCTTTGCAAGTGCACCACCGCGGCGGTGATGGTGGCGAAGTTTGTGGGGGATCATGCGCTATTCTTCGCAAGGGCACCGCCGAGCACGATACATTCTTCGCCCAGGACAGGAGAGAAACAACGCCGGTACTTACCATACCACCGACGGCATCAACAACGATATCTGCTGTTCTTTTTTTTTTTATTGCTCTGATTCGCAGGTGTCCGGGTTGGTGTTCTCGGGAAGCCTGGCCACGGCGATGAGCATCGTGGGTTCGGACTTCGTCACCAAGAGCGGCTTCATGTTCGCAGGGGAACGCCTGTGGAACAAGGTGAGCGGCGGCGGCGGTCGATGGACCGAGAGCGACCTTCTTCGTCGTCTCGAGAAAGACATTGTGTGTCCTGTTGCTGGATTTCGCTGTCCCCCGAATTTGTACCGGAAGGATGCGGGTCTTGGCACGGATCGGCTGCATGGCACAGGTCGGGGTCTTGGCACAGGGGGGGGGACACCGGGGGG